TAGGAAGAGGTGGGTGTCTTTGGGAGGTGATTGGATCATAAGGGCAGAGCCCTCATGAATGAGATTAGGGCCTTTATAAAAGGGACCACAGGTAAGTCCCTTGCCCTGCCCAGCATGTGAGGACCCTGCAAGACCACTGTGTGAAACCAGGACCAGGAAGCAGACTCTCATTGGATATCGAATCTGCTGGTGACTTAATCTTGGACTTCCCACCCCCAGAACTCTGCAAAATGAATTTCTGTTGTTTATAAATTTGTTAGAGTAGCCAGGATGGACTAGGACACATACCATCAAGCTAAGAAAGAGGGTCATGGGATCTGAGGAGGGGTCTCATAAGTGGAAAGGAGAGCACATAGCTGCAAAGTCCAGGATAGAGCCACCTCCTGTCCCATGGCCACCTCTTGATATACTTTAAAATTCTCTTTCCCTAGAGCCTGGATACAACCCTAGGAAGAAGTGGAAAACCCCCAAATCAACTGAGAACATTCTGAATTGACAGTTCAGCCCAAATTAACTAAGATTAAGTTTTCAGACCAAGACAGAATATAGGCATTAGACAGAATGCCTATGGAGATTTCCCTGAAATATCATCAACATTTCTAATCAAACATTTCCACCCAATAACTGATCTCATGTCCTGTGACAATCTCTCTTGAACTAGCATTGCATTCATGGATAAAACAAAAAGTATTAGCCATAAATGTAGCTGCTCCTTGAAGGGCAAAATCAAGTCCTCCTGTGCTTATAAAAATTAATTATTGGGGCGCCTGGGTGGCTTAGTCGGTTAAGCGTCGACTTTCGCTTAGGTCATGATCTCGCGGTTCGTGGGTTCGAGCCCTGCGTCGGGCTCTGTGCTGACTGCCAGCTCAGAGCCTGGAGCCTATTTCAGAGTCTGTGTCTCCCTCTCTCTCTGACCCTCCCCTGCTCACAATCAGTGTTCTAAGTTAAAAATTTTTTTGACACATTTTAGTAGTTGTAAGTATCTCACTATGGTTTTATTTTACATTTTCCTGATGACTAAAATGTTGGGTACATTTTCTTTGCTTATAAATATGTATGCATTTTTAATCCAGCAATTTTAATTCTAGGGATTTATTATGAAGAAATACACACTCATGCACGAGCACGTGCGTGCACGGGTGCACGCACACACACGCACACACATTGGAATTATCCAGTAATAGTATTTTGATGAAACATTTTTGGTGTAGCTATACTGTGAAATATAGTTACTAGTGATAATTATCATTAATGTCCTGATGGTCATTAATCCTAAGAAATAAAATAATAGGTGATTTCTTAAAAATCTCTAAACAAAACTTTAATACTTTTCTAGTTGTGTCCTGACAGGAGATATTTAATATGTTCTTAACTTTTGGACATTTTCTAAATTTCTCACTGTGAGCATATACTCTTTTATTTTTGGAAGATACGGCAAAAAGTATTTCTATATTATTTTGTAATGGATAGAAATAAAAAATGTAATCACAAATAACTGAATACCCACAATTCAATTATAAGCAATGTCATTTACAGTCAAGTTTTTTATTTAAAATACAAAAGATATACCTAGTGCCCAGATCTTTATAAATACGATTTCATCTTTTATTTTTTAAAGTAAACTCTATGCCCAGTATGGGGCTTGAACTCACAACCCCAAGATCAAGAGTTGCATGCTCTAGCAACTGAGCCAGTCAGGTGCCCCTAATTTCATCTTTAAAAAGAATCAGGCTCCTTGGAGAAACGGCTGAGACCAGGGATCAGGCAGGGGAAGCACAGGATGCCAGGAACACAGGAACATTGTGATGTACCAGAAAACATGGAAATGAAAAAAACAAACACAAAAGAGAGACGGGAATAAGTTAAAAAGACACAAGAGCTAGTTTCAAGGAGAGCTAGTGGCCCCGTCTGGGATAATTTTTTAGCTAAAGATAAAGCAGGAGAGTAAACGATTATTAAATAAAATTAAATAAAATCACTAAATAAAATAGGAATCCATCAATTCATGCTGATGATAGATAACTAAATAAGTGGGACTGAGCAAGAGAGGGCTCTTCCTTACAGTGAAATACAGATTGAAAGTGTAAAGGGAGGGGCGCCTGGGTGGCTCAGTTGGTTAAGCCACTTTGGCTCAGGTCATGATCTCAAGGTCTGTGAGTTTGAGCCCCACATCAGCCTCTGTGCTAACAGCCAGAAACCTGGAGCCTGCTTCGGATTCTGTGTCTCTGTCTCTCTCTGCCCCTTCCCCACTCACATTCTGTCTCTCCCTCTCTCAAAAATAAATAAATATTTTTTTTAAAAAAAAAGGAAAAGGAAGTGTGTAGGAAGAGTAGAGTTGAAAGGTTACCATTTACCAACCATCATAGTAAAGAATGGTTTGGGCAAGAAATAGCAATGACTGCCAAACCTAGGGAGCAGGGAGTTTGATAAGGAACAGGATATTTACTCAATTCTAAAGCGTCTCTCCACTCTTGAATGTTGAGAACAAACTGACGACTCATGGGGAGGAGGGGGGTGATGGGCATGGAGGAGGGCACGTGTGGGGATGAGCACTGGGTGTTATATGGAAACCCACCTGACAATAAACTATTTGTAAAAAAATAAATAGATAAAAAATAAAGCGTCTCTCCATAAATTGCTTGTTAATTGCAAGGGAAAAATAGTAACTGTACAGTGGAGGAAACTGGACAACATTTGGATCAGTTGATCAAAATTAACCAACAGGGGGCAGACTGACATGGTGTGCTTCCAGATATGGTACCCAGAGAAAACCAAAACATCACTTTTGTCTATTCTTGCAGGGACCTGTGACCTGAATCAAGTCATGAGGAAACACCAAGCAAATCTGACTGAAGAACATTCTACAGAACAACTGGCTTATATTCTTTAAATGCATCAATGTCATGAAAGACAAAGAAATACTCAGGAACCATTCCAGATTAAAGAATACTAAAGAAACATGACAACTTAAGGTATGTGCGATCTTTGGTAAAGGCTTCTACTAAAGGAGAGAGATGCTATTTACAATTTATTGGTATAACTGACAAAATAGGAATATGGATTGCAGAATAAGAAAAAAAAAGTATGTATCAAGGTGAGACTTCTTGATTTGAACTGTTCTGTGGCTATGTAGGAAAATATACTTGTTCTTAGAAACTAAAAATGAAGTGTTAGGAGCGTAACAAAGGCATAAGCTATACAACCTTAAATGGTTCAGAGAAAATAAATAATTACAGAGGGAGAGAAGGAAAATAAATGTGATAAAATGTAGAAACAAAATGATTATCCTGGATTAAGGTGGTGTGGGAGTTCTCTGTAATTTTGGCAACTTTTCTTTATGTTTGAGACTATTCAAAATAAAATGTTTAATAATGCACCTAGTCCTAGCCATGGGCTTGGTTTTAATTATTTTATCTCAAACACACACACACGCACACACACACTTAACTGAGATACTGAGATACATGGAAGTAATTTATCTGGGGGAGGGGAATAAGAAAAGAACTAATTTTGGAATGTATAAGCATGTCCCTCCGTTATGGCTTAATGGAGGACAGGAAGGTGAGTAGACCATGGTGATGGGTCTCAGAAATGGAAAATGGTGGCTCAGGCTAGATAGCTGAATATTGAGAGTCCTGAGAGGTCAGTTTGCTGTCAGACATGGGACATGGACATGGACATGAACGTGGTCATAGTAAAATGGAACTCCCAGGATTGTAAATGATGGAAGACAGAAGGGGCACCATTAGAACCTTCCCAAGAGAAGCTGGCTACATGAAGGCTAAGGGATCCATGGGGCCACAAGGAAGTTTGGAGATACACAGGTGGCTTTACAATGATTCCTTTGTTGGTACATTTTTTAAAGAATTAGGGTCACCTGAGTCAGTGAAGCATCCAAGTCCTGATTTCATTTCAGGTCATGATCTCACAGCTTGCGGGATTGAGCCCCACATCGGGCTCTGCAGTGACAACATGGTGTCTGCTTGGGATTCTCTCTCTCCCTCTCTCTGCCCCTCCCCCACTCACTCATGCTCTCTCAAAATAAATAAATAAACATTTAAAACAAGAATTACATGGGAGATTTGCTGCATTTATGGTCGTTGTAGGGCTGAATATCACCTGAAAGAAAGATAAGGAGCATCACTGAAGATAAAACCTACAAGTATCTTAGTGGCTTCTTAAACTTTCTTAAAAAAAAAAAAGTCTCCCCTGTAAAACAACAAAACACCAACGAAATGGAAGAGGAGGTAACCTACGTGTTTACAGCACACCACCTTATCAGTCCTAATTCTTTTTCTCCTGATGAAACACTAAGCGCAGAGGCCAGTCCACACACTGGTACTTCATCTCCTTTGTTTCAGTCGCTGGATCTCATCAGCCAACAAACCGATATCGTTAATTTCTTCTTTCTCAATCTTAATTCCAAATCAGACTCCTAGTTGGAGATTTGAATTTTAGTTTAAACTTCAATAGCCTGTAGAGGCTTATTTTCTTCTTGTGGACAAACTAACAAAACTCCTGTTTTTGAAGCTAGACAGTTTGAAAGCTGTCTGTCAATGCACACGCAAATAGACCACCATTGAAGAGGGGACTTTCTCATGAGGAACAAGGCAGAGCTGCCCGTTGTAAGTGGAACAGGACCATCACAGCCCTCGGGAGTTATGGTTATAGATGGAATCCCATTTTAGAATGGTAGGTGATTTTTCCGGTTTTGCTTCTGTTTTCCCTGAAGAAAACTTGATCGTTTCCATTTGGCCCACAGTGTGGGAGAGGGCTCCAGGGTTTCGTGGCTTCTGGGAGAAGCTCAGGCAGAAGCCCCACCACCAGGGTGTTGCTGGAGGGACTTCTCAAGAGCTCCCTGGCTCAGGAGGCTCCTAGTTGTGCTGGGGGATCCACTCTCCCCGCCCAGTCTGGGGGCCGGCCAGCCTGCGGAAGTGAGTCAGACTGCTACCATGTTCCTGATGACTTCACTTCCTCATCTAAGAAGTGGTTCTCCAGGAAGTCACAGGGATGAGGGGCTGCTCGGGCAGAACTCAGTCCAAAAAGACCCGCTTCAGGTTCTTCTCTAGAACATGGTGGCTTTACCCCACTTATCTTGGGACAGCATCTACAAGTCCTTGAGGAGAATGTGCCTGCTGTACTGTTGTGCATCTTCCAAGACGTACTCAGCACCGTCATGCTTCTAAGCCAACTTGTGTAAGAGCTCTCCTGCTCCCTCCGTGGCCACATCCTCGCAGTGGAAACAGAAGCCCGAAGAGAGGTAAGTGTAGGAGGCCCCCAGATGCATGTTGACCAGGTGGTTGATGGCAGACCGCATCTGGGTGGAATAATTCTGATAAATCTGGAAGCTCAGGGTTGACAGACAATTAGGAGCTAAGCTCAAAGTACAGGCTTGGCTGGTCTGAAGGCAGTGAATGGCCAAGAAGATGGTTCCGAAGGTTGCAACTGGAAAAGAGATTGGAGGGCGGTTGGAGGCTGGAAGAAGGGGGTATCCTGGATCTGTTCTGTCCAAACACTGTTGGAGCAAGAGACAGGTCCGCGGGACCACTGCACACACTGTCGGCGGGTAATCTTTGACACAGGTGTAAGAAATGCTATGGCTTTACTCAAATGACAGGTGGAACATAATTCAACCATGTACGGCCCATCCAACAAGGATTTATTCTATTTAGCTTTGCATTTGAAGCCTCGCACTGGTCTGGCCTTTGTAAAAGGCAAACCTAACCTATTCATTTTCCATCCCACTCCCCAACCTTCATTGAGACAAATAAGTAAAAGGAAGACTTGCAAGACAGACCACAAGGTCGGATACTGCTATGATTTAGGCTTGGCTAGATGAGGTTTGGAAAAGACATTAAAGTTTTTTGGTTTGTTTTTTTTTTTTTAGGGAGAGAAGGTGCAAGTGAACAAGGGACTGAGAGAGAGAGAGAGAGAGAGAGAGAAAATACCACAAGAGGCAGAGAAAGAGGGAAAGACAGAGGGAGAGGGAAGTGGGGCTCACCCGAAACAGGTCTGTTGCTCACTCAAAGCAGGGCTCTTGTTCACCCGATGTGGGACTCGAACTTACTGACCTGAGCCAAAGTCAAATGCTTAATGACTGAGCCACCCAGCCACCCAACAGTAAGGTGTGAAGGTCATGAGGTACAAGTTAGTAGTTAGTACATGAGGCATATGTATCTGTTCAAAGAGGCTAATGGAATAAAGAAGTTCATGATGCTTCAAAGCATTTATGTCATTCACCCCAAGGTGGGCATCTACAGTGGGAGAAGATGGTTAATTTTAGTTGAAACTTCCTAGGTTTATGTTATAAGGCTTCCTTTCTTTTATTTTAAAAGCATGTATTTATAATCAAGTATTAATTTTGCCCAAAGAACTAAAAATAGTAGGGGTAACAAGAAAAGTAAACATATTTCAAGACCATCTTTGTTAAACTCTTTGGGAAAGTTGAAAGTGCTTTCCCATTACTCATGTTAAATTTTAGGTCTCAGTTAACCTCAGCTTCTGTAGCTTAATTTTCCTGCTACTGAAGTCTTCTGTTTCCTCAGTGAGTAGCCATTCTAGAGTTCCTTGGGAGAAGTCATTAAAGAGCCGGTTCTTTCTCTTTCCCTTTTTAATTTTTATTTTTTTAATGTTTATTTATTTTTGAGAGAGAAAGTAAGAGAGAGAGAGAGAGCAGAGGAGAGGCAGAGACATAAGGAGACACAGAATTTAAAGCAGGCTCCAGGCTCCAAGCTGTTAGCACAGAGCCTGATGTGGGGCTCGAGCTCATGAACTGTGAGATCATGACTTCAGCCAAAGTCGGACACTTAACTAAGCCACCTAGGCACCCCACTAAAGAACTAGTTCTTAAAGGCACAGGAAAAAGGGACATTAGGGAGTATGTAAGTTTTATATCAGAGGAAATCAGGACATAGGCTTAAGACATGGAATTTATCTTAAAGAAAGTGCACACAGAGGTTTGTACAAAGGGTAAGTTTATTGCACTGTTGAAACAGTGAACATTTAGAAAGAAGTTAAATATCATCACAGAACTGATCTAGTGAATTGTTTGCCCATACTGTGAAACACTGCGACCATTAAAAAGCATGAGACAGAGGTAAATGCACTGATATGGGGAGATTCTCAAGACTTATTATTATTTAGAGAGAGAGAGAGAGAGAGAGAGAGAAAGAGAGAGCACGAGCAGGGGAGAGGGGTAGAGAGAGAGGGAGAGAGAGAGAGAGAGAGAGGGAGAGAATCTCAAGCAGGCTCCACACTCAGTGTGGACCCTGAGGTGGGGCTTGATCCCATAACCCTGGGATAATGACCTGAGCCGAAATAAAAAGTCAGACACCGAAATGACTGAGACACCCAGGTACCTCCCAAGACGTATTAAGAAGAAAAAGCAACTTGCAAATCAACATGTATAGCGTGACCCTTTTATATTAAAAATCTGTATAATGTATGTACATGTGCTACATGTAAATGCATAGAATGGGGACAGGAAGGCTGGCCACCAAAGCACAGTCCTGGCTAATTTAGAGGAGAGATATAAAAATGAGGATGAGGATGAAAGATGGCTTTTATATTTTTGCTCTCTAGAAATCATTCTTGTTTGAATCTTTATTTTTTAAGTTTTTTTGTTTATTTTAAGAGAGAGTGCAGGGGAAGTGCAGAGAGAAAGGGAGAGAGAGAATCCCAAGCAGGCTCCACTCTGTCAGTACATGCAGGTCTGCATGGGCTGTGGGATCATGACCTTACAAACTGTGAGATCACAAATTGTGAGATCATGACCTGAGCCAAAATCAAGAGTCAGACACTTAACCAGCTGAGCCACCTGGGCTCTCCTCTTGTTTGAATCTTCTATCATAAGAATGTTTTTGGGCACCTGAGTGGCTCAGTTGGTTAAGCGTCCAACTTCGTCTAAGGTCATGGTCTTGAAGTCTGTGGGTTCAAACCCCTCATTGGGCTCTGTGCTGTCAGCTCAGAGCCTGGAGCCTGCTTCGGATCCTGTGTCTCCCTCTCTCTCTGCACCTCCTCCACTCGTGCTCTGTCTCTCTCTGTCTCAAAAATGAATAAATGTTAAAAAAAAAAAAAACTTTACTTTTTGTTTTTTACTTTTTTAAATGTTTTATTTATTTCTGAAAGAGAGAGAGAGAGAGACAGCGTGAGCAGGGGAGGGTCAGAGAGAGAGGGAGACACAGAATCTGAAACAGGCTCCAGGCTCTGAGCTAGCTGTCAGCACAGAGTCTGATGTGGGGCTCAAACCCACGAACCGTGAGATCATGACCTGAGCCAAAGTTGCACGCTTAACCAATTGAGCCACACAGGTGCCCCCCCCCCCACAAGGAATGTTTTCATGTTACTTGTGGAATTTTCAAAAGATCTTTTGATGTATTCAATCTTTCCTGAAAACAAGAAGTACTAAATTCATAATGGTATGTTGAACCCCTGGTGTGCATAACACTTTGACACCTGACCTCCTCCCACAACTCCCTTCAAGAGCTAAAAAACAAGAGAGATGATTTCTGTGACAATTCCTCAAATTCATGCTCAGATCATTTAACTGGCTTGAGGGTTTTTTTTTTAAAGTCTTTAAAAGAATTTTTTTAAGTATGTTTATTTATTTTGAGAGAGACAGAGACAGTGAGAGTAGGGGAGGGGCAGAGAAAGAGGGAGAGAGAGAATCCCAAGCAGGCTTCGCACCACCAGCACAGAGCCTGACGTGGGGCTCAAACTCACAAAACTGTGAGATCATGACCTGAGATGAAGCCAAGAGTCCAACACTTAACTGACTGAGCCACCCAGGCGCCCCAGCTGGCTTGACTTTTTTTTTTTTTTATCTACCCTCACAATTCGAGGGTCTCTCCCTGTCTCTCAAGGGCATTATCTACTTTCTTCCCTTCTTGACTGCTGCATTAACCTTTTTATTTTTCTTAGTCAGGCACTCTCAGCCCTTGTGTCCACTGGTGGCTTAACTCCTCTTATTTAAAATTTCCTGCCTGGGTGTGCTGGCTGGCTCCATCGGTAAAGCATGTGACTTTTGATCTCAGGGTTGTGAGTTCAAGCCCCTGATTGAGTGTGAAGCCTACTTAAAGTCTCCAGCCTGGGGGCGCCTGGGTGGCTCAGTCGGTTAAGCGTCCGACTTCGGCTCAGGTCATGATCTCACGGTTCGTGGGCTCGAGCCCCGCGTCGGGCTCTGTGCTGACAGCTCAGAGCCTGGAGCCTGCTTCAGATTCTGTGTCTCCCTCTCTCTCTCTGACCCTCTCCTGTTCATGCTGTGTGTCTCTCTCTCTCTCTCAGATATAAATAAAACATTAAAAAAATAAATAAATAAATAAAGTCTCCAGCCTGTTAACTGAGTGTAGGATCTTTCCTACAGCATTCACTACATTATGTGTTCGGATGAAGGAAGCTGATGAAAGGTTCAGAGTTGTATTGGCAAGGAACAATTCTCTTGATTACTGGCTTGATGATTTTACCTCAAGAAGAGGGGAGACCTTTGGGTCTCAAGATATGCTTGACTCTGTTCTAGTCTGAGACAAGGAACCTTCTTAGCCTGTGTTTCAGTTTATCTATTTCTTCCGAAATAGCTTGTCTCTGCTCCCCATGTCATTAGCTGGGATAACGCAACTAGATGATGAAGAATTCGATTTCCAGATATCTCACTCACATGGCTGACATGTTGGTGCTGCCCTAACAGGGCGCTCAGCCAGTGCTGTGGGCCGGAAGCCTCAGTTCCTTTATAGGTGGGTCTCTGCACAGGATGCTGGGGCTTCCTCGCAGTATGGCAGCTGGATTCCAAGAACATTCTTCCCAAGAGAGCAAAGCAGATGCAAATGGTATTTTAATGATGTACCCTTAGAAGTTACATAAAGTAACTTCTACCATACTCTATTGGTTGAGGCCATCTCAAGGCCTACTCAGATTCAAGAGGAGGAGGTATAGAACCTATCTCTTGATTAGGGGGAGATGTAGGCCATCTATTGGCCACACCTTGGTTTTGAGAGAGAGCATAGACAGAGTCGATTACTGGCTCTGAAGTAGAATACAAAAGCAATGAGGCAAATTTGTAGACTGAGAAACTGATCTTCCCAGATTTCCCTCAATCAGATCTTGTTTTTTTGGTTGATTCTGAATTTTCTAAAATCCACAAAAACTAAACTTCAAATGCATGTGCAAAAAGGAAAACAATATGTAAAAAACCTAGCCAATGATGCAACTCTTCAAATAAAATTCATCAGGCACCTGGAGGATTCAGTTGGTAGAGCATGCAACTCT